GAACTTCACCGTGTTATGACATCAGCGTTGAATTAATAGCTAATGCCACATCTAAGTGGTACGGGTGGCGATATTGCCTTGTTTCCCAACTGACCGCTAATGAAATGACTTGGGAAAGTTTGCAATTGTTTACGTCTTAACCGTGCAGGTGAATGATGTGCTGAAGTTAAGCCACAAGACAAGATGGAGTACAAGCTCCGACATCATCGAAGCTATCTTTTAATGGCGATTATCTTTATTTGCTTTGGATCGGCCTTAACTCGAGGTATGTTGTTGCGCTTCTTTGAAAATGTGTATTACCTATAATTTCTTTGAAAAATTGTCAGGTCTTCGATTTTTTGCCGAACTATCACACGTGCCTAGTAAAATACATTAGATCTAGCCTAATCTAAGTGTTTGTTCTCGACCTTGTTCAAAAAGTTTCTTATTCCAGGTTTAACATGTCGATGACAAGTAGTTATCCGAATTCAGCAATGATTTACGAAACAAGAAGCTTATGTTAGATGTTTAAATATTGACTGCCTGACTGGTTGATTGACTGATTGGCTGACCCATTGATTGATTGACTTGAAAAACGAATCCTGCTTAATTAACTCAAATTTTATTTCCCAGGTACAAGGCGAAAGTCTACTGCTAAGGTTATGGACTTCAAGGCTAAGCAGTTTTCCTATTTGAACATCACAGTAATCACGTCCGTGTTTGTCCCTGATGGCATCGACTGTGGGTTTGCTTGTTTAACATCGACTTCATGTTTTTCTTATAACCTGGCTGCATTTCATGATGTTAATGGGAAACTGCTGTGTGAACTGCTTTCATCTGACAAGTATAACAACACGGATAAACTCATTGCAAGCCCGATTTTTCACCACTTCAGCATTTGGGTTAGTATAAATCGGATGCCTTTTTGACGTAAAGCTGTATTTAACTAGTCTTCATAGGTGTTAGTGAATTAGCTTGGAAAAATTTTATCAGTTTTCTCCTTTTTTAATAATTATCATATGAGAATATGCTTTCTAGGAACTTATTTTTCTGTATCCTTATTATTTTACACTATCCTAACGAGTACTGTGCTTATCATACCAATTACGTACGCGTTGTCTTATTCCCAGACCTTCCACGGAAGGTTCTGGGTACACAATTAACGAAAGTGTTATCAGAAGTCGAGCTCCCACAATTCCGTGCGAATGGAGAGCCTTATCCATGCGCAAGGGCTTAAAGGGTGGGGAAGGAGAGGGTGCTCTGCAAAAGTTTGCAACATGCATGCAGTATGATGGAATTACTTCAAATTTAGGTGAGATAAAGATATAATTTTGAAATGATTTTTCTCAACTCAACAGAGTCCTTGCTTCAGCAATCCTTGTAAAAACAATGCTACGTGTGTGGCCAATTACGTAGATGATGATTATCAGTGCGCATGCTCACCAGGTTATATGGGAGAACACTGCGAAGGTATCCTGAAGTTGGTGTACTAATACGATGTTTGTTTTCTGAGTGCAGAATTAGAGAAGAAATAAAGAAGGCCCAAAACGGTTTAACTTAATCTCGCCCCTAGATCCTACCGTGTAACTGAAATGTTACAACCGCTTGGCCGTGGAAGGTCTGGGTTCGAGACTAGGTTTAACTCGTCGATAGGGCAACCGAAATTGCGTGTTTAAGATCATTCCTTTGAAATTGAACCTGCAGTAATATTTCTGTTTAACTTGACCTATGCTATTGGTTGTTTATCTTATAAGAACATAACTTTTGAAATAAAAAGCAAAAAGGGGGTGTCCCTGTACTCGTTCAGCTGTACCAAATAGAAAGCCACCGATATAATTCCAATAACATCATGACAATTATGCTCGCAAGTAATTGCTGAATTTGCGTTTCCAAGAATTATTCTTACACCGAGAATTGATTTATATTTATTTTACGGAAAGAAAGTCATTGCTCAAAAAAATAAAAATTGATATGTCATCATGCTTGTTAGCGAGAAAATGACGATTTACTCTGGTGAGCTCCGGCTGTTTAAAATTATGCACGGTAAAGATGTACAATGCAATACTACGCCTTTTGGGAACTCATTTTTTAGTTGTGTTATTTTCTTCTTGGATAATCAGGTTTTGCAAAGGACTGCAAGGAAATCAAAAGACAAGATGAATCTGCGGTAGATGGTATGTACCTGCTAGACCCGGATGGAGGAAGCCATTCCAATGCATTCCAAGCCTACTGTGACATGACGTCCTACGATGGAGGATGGACCATGTGTTACACTACCGATGAATACGTCAAACTTAAGACTCAAGTCACCTACAACACGCAGTTTCCTTATGGAAGTGACGGTTATAGGACAGACTGTAATAACATCCCCGTAAGTTGATTGCCAGCTGATTATGGCTTTGAGGAGCCAGCATTTATTTCCAGATTTTTGAGCGTCATTTAAAACCTAGCATGGAGTCAACCTATTACAGACTACAATAACTACGGCTTGCGTTTTCTTTTTACGAACTTTATGGAGAAGCTTTATTCGCACCCTTTGAAGGTTCCCTCAGCCTGATCGTTTGAATCTACGGTGAAGATTTTGCTGATCGTCTTAGAAATAACTCAAAGGTCAATGTGTTGAATATAAAGCAGTAGTCCCTTAAGGCTCTGTAATATTCACATGACCCTTCCCCCTCCCCCCCTCGTTGGCAATTAATTGACAGGCAATTGCCTACAGTCCACCCTTTATACTTTTTTTCGATTGCAAATGGTTTCGATTTCGAATCGATTTGTTGTTGTTTTTCTTTTTTTGGCACCATCAATCTTCTCCATAAGGGTCTAAACTAAATATCACCTTAGTAAACCACAACGAATGGAGATGGTCATGAGGAAAGGACATAGCAGAAATTACTAGAAAAGACTACTGATTCAAGAAACTGTCCCTTTGCACCATTAAAATGGACATTTCATTCCTCTTTTTTAGTTCACGGAAGTACTATTCGTTGATCATCAAACTGGTAACAAAGCGTACTTCAAACGACAAACCAAACAACCAATAATGGCGGCCAATATCTTCGGGAATGCTGCTGCGACGGGCCTCTGGGACGGAGTGGGCACGAACACAAATTTTAACTACCAGCTGCTGGTCTGTGATCATTCGTTCTACAGCGGCTTTTTCGTTTCCGGTCTCACAGGAAATTGTTACAAGCAGTGCAACTCTTGGTGTGGAGATACCTCCTCGCCTTACTTCCGCACTGCGTCTACAAGTTCGTCCTACAATGGAGTGGCCTTTAACACAAATGGTCATTACCCTAATCGAGTGAGCAACAGACTAATTAGTGTCGGTTTGCGCTGAATGAAGGTCTGACCTTGACACACCCTTTTGGAAGTTTTAATTTCTCAGAAAGTAAAACGGTGAAAGCCAAGGGACTGGTCATTTATTTATCACCTGGGGAGAAGGGGAGAGAGAAATGGGGAGGGGGGGGGAAGGTCCAAGGATTTTGGTTTTGTAACGATACAAACTGACCAGATCCTCCCATAAGGCTCTCTAATGCTCTTATGCCCCACCGCCCTAGTGAATAATCTCTTGTCCCCACCTCCCCCTATTAGCAGTTAGTTGGCAGTCAATTTTACATAGCTCCCCTTTTATACTTTTTTTGCAACGACTGATTCCTATTTATAATCTCTTACCCTCCCGCTATTGGTACTTAATTGGTGGACAATTTTCTTCTGTCCCCACTTTATACTCTATTGGCAACAACTGATTCTCCCTCTGAAAAAAAATTTACCCCACTATAATTTTATGATTACAGTATTGATAACGTTGATGACTGAGATAATGATCATGGTAATCGAGGAAAACCTTTAAGACTTCATCATATACGAATTAAAGCACTGCCTAGTGCGGTTAGTCTCCTTTGCAGTTTGTCTTTGGGATGTTACGCAAAAATCGGCAGCGAATGAGATCATTGTAGTCATGGATATGGAGCTAACTGCAAAAAAAAAAATGCCTTAGAATCTATATAGTAATAATATGATAATAAACGATAGGCTTAACTGTGCAAGTATTTTGATTGGTTTCTACTAATGAGCTTCTAGAGCTCGAGGACATACGTCACCATTGACAAAATTTGGCTTCATCTCAGATAAAACAATTAAAATCCTTGTTGCTGGGTTTGTCTATGTTTGTAATCACCCCGACATTGTTGCCGAAACTTCAACTCCGAATTCTTCAATTGACTGGGATATCCTCTATTTAAAGAACTTCCAGGAACATCGTCTTCGGCTAAGAACGAAGGACCGTATACAAACACGCTTTCAAAAGACATCCTTCAGCTCGCTACCTTTGGCCCAAGATGCCTCACTTTTGTGTTCTCGACCCAGCTCACCTCAGACGGCCGCCATTTTGGAATTAGGAGTATACAGAGAGGTCAAGATGTGGTTAGAACATCAGTGACACATGCCTCGTATGCCTCTATTTTGTTCTTACCGCATTTTGACGTCATGTATTCTCTCCTAGATCAGACGCACGGCAACAGGGAATCTTTTCGTTTATCATTTTTTTCCAATAGCATCAACGACAACATATTATTTATCGGATAAACAACTACTTTAATCAGCGTCTAGCGGTAATTTGAAAATAAAGTTATGTAAGTAAATGAATTGTCATTAGCTCCAGGCCGATATATTTGAGATGAATTACCAAGTGTGAGAATCAAATGACAACTCAGGTGAGTTTGAAACAATGAGAAAAGTCCAGAAAAGGATGATTATGATAGCCGCATCATTTCGGTAGTCATGAGATTGAAAGTCCATAATAGGAATGCGTGACACAAGCTGACGTGACGACGGAACACCCCATAACATGGGATGCAGGGTAAACAAACATGACACCTTTCATCGAAGCATTTTGGAGATCAAATGTCCTTTGGTGTTTACAAAGTTCATTTATACAGTGAGCTGAAGAAAGCACGCGTACACCAGACGCTTACTCTTTATTCCAAGCACAACTGAAGCATTTTTTTTTTCATCACACGGACATGTCGACGTCAGAGCAAAATCTTTCCGACGAATTCGAAGGGGAACTGCCGGCGGAGGAGAAGCCTCGTCTTACCTTCACACAAGATGTTCCACCGGCCATTCATTACGGGCATAAACTGGATATGACAGATAGGGATCCCGTCAAAATGAACGACCACGTAAAGGTACAGAAATAAACACAAAGGAAATGTTTTTGAAGTAATTTACTCTATTTGCATCAATGACCTCGATAAACAAAAATGTTAGGCGATCCTTTATTTCATACGAGTGTTTTTAGGAGAGGGGTGTTGGCACTGTCCATTCGGTGTCACTTTTGAGCGGAAATTTTTCAATATAGCGAGCAAAAATTTCGGGAATCCATGTTCAATTTCTTTTAGTAACACCGTTGTAGCAAAGAATTTTGTCATGAGTGCATACGCGTTGACATTCTTAAATTCTCTGGTTTAAAGATCAAAGAGTTCTTTAATTTGAACTTAAATTGGGTCATGGCTGAAGGAATACTGATTAGCTTGTGTATTGATTACAGGGGTTGACATTTGATCCAGCTTTGTGGAAAGTCTTTTGATAAGCCCTCTGACCGCTGAAAAGGGTATTTTTGTGACTCGCGTGGCGTGACACCCATTCTTAGAACAATAGAAAGAGTCTTTATCTGTAACCTGAAATGCAACTGAAATTAAACGTATTTTTCAAAGATTAAACGCATAGATTTTGAAAGCGCAGTACTAAACGAAATGGGAATGAGTATTTCGTTGTAAATGATCGATTTTTATATGATTATTTCAAGCGTAATTTTCTACCAGAAACAAGCAATGAAATAAACTTCTGAAAAGCTAAAACCATTGACGACTTGCAAAAAAAAGTGACTCGGAAAGAAAGATTTCTTGCTCACGAAAAGATTGATTTTTCATTTACGGACAGGTTTTCTTTCAAGACGTATTTGCTGAGCCGGATGGTTCCCACAGCATTGATGGGGTCTGGCGGACGAGCTTCAATACGTTCGTGGCCACCAAGTACTGGTGTTACAGGATAATTACAGCTATCTGTGGAGTACCTACTGCCATCTTGTGCGGAATCTACTTTGCTTGTCTAAGTTTTGATTACATCTGGTGCATCATGCCCTGTTTGCGCGCTTACGTCATTGAGCTGCAGTGCCTTGGGAAGCTGTTTAGCCTGTGTGTGCGCACATTCTTCGACCCGTTTTTTGAGTCTGTGGGAAGAATTTTTGGTGGAATGAGGATTTCTCATGCAAGAGAAGACAACAAACCCTTTTCGGCATGATAACATTTGTCTTGTCACGCAAATGTTTCTGATTGAGTTGTCTCGATTTTCTTAAAGTGCAGAGAAAAGAACTTAAAACATAACGCTAAACCTAGGAATTCCGTACTCATGTTTTACTAAAGTTCGTCAGTATTATACCATTAATATATATCAACCAACCTAGAATATAATCTTATATACCGCATTTACAATTATTAAGGCTCAATTCAACTATTCGCCTAGGAATTTGCAAAGTTTGTTCGCTCACCTTGCAGAACTGAACGTTGCAAGACGAACTTTATGATTAGCCTAGTTTATAGATTGCAAATATTCATGGCTTTTTAATTCCGGTTGTGTTCTAGCATGTCTCTAATTGAACATACGTCTTCAATACATACTTTTATACACTTTTATACTTATACTTTTATATCTACTTTTATGTACTTAATTTACCAAAGTATTAAAATTCTTCTTTCAAACTGAAACGAGCGCATTCGATTCCCCACATAATCACTTACATCAGTTTCTTTGATATGTCTGATTCACAAAACAGCCATTGCTCCCTGTTTTTTTGAGTATCGCACATCCTCTAGAGTGTTAGTCAATCGTAGGTTATCCCCCTTCCCACTTGCATTTAGTTAACCAAGACAGTCTTTTAAGAACTTACAAAAATTCCGCTTTGGTATCACAAACCCTAATCTTTCGTGCGCCATGAATTTTCTTCTTTTCTGTCTTTTTTGACCGATTTCTGGTATGTTTCGCCTTGTTTACTTGATTTCAGTGAAAAGGTCCTTATTTGCTCATCAAACCATGTTGGAAATTATGGAATACCGAAAGCCTATGCAACACGAATTAAAGAATAAAAAAATGTATCCTAAAGGAAAACGTTAAGCATTTTTCAATCATCTTCACCCTTTAACTCCCAGGTTAAATGAAGACACAACAACTTCACCTCGATTTACTTTGTGTCGTTCACAAATGGGTGTTACCGCTGGATTTTATGCATAGAAGGCTCGATTTATTCCTTTGGGTATTCCCTTCGGGGGCCGCGTAGAACCCCTGAAAGCGTAATGAATAAGTTCGGATTCATTCACTCTGAAAAAGGTGAGATCGTTTGAAGGAAGACTCAAAGGAATGAGACGATGGCGCAATTTAGCGACCACGAGCGGCTACGTCTGTAAGTGAATCCCTCCTGTTTTGACGTGTCAATTCGATGTCAATGAACTCCAAAGAATGATTGAAAATATGTTATGCCTTCACGTTTTTTTGCTCAATGTTCTCAAGTTTGATTTGTATTTATTGAAACAAAGCATATTCAGAGCTTTAAAAAGAGATCTTGAACGAGCATATTTGATGATTGTAGGCCAAAGTTCGTATTTTACTTCTTGTTGTTAGCGTTTTAATTTATGCACAGCCATCTTTTACCGGTGTCACAATGGATTTGAACCCCCCGAGGATTTGGACCCCCGGTCCAAATCCGTTAGCGGATATGGACCCCCTTCGCAGATTTGGACCCCCTACCAAACTTTCCTTTTAAGCACCGTTTGTATCATATTTGGTAACTAATTCTAATTGCAAGCTTTTTGTCAATGTTCTTTTCAATCACGACACAACGTTCCTCAATTAAGGTAAAGAAAAACAGCCATTTCGTTCCAATCCTGCCGCATTTATTATAGCGAGTCGTACAGTATAAGCAAGAATAAAATGCGAGCAAACAACTGCATTCGAACTATCGAAACTCTAACAATAAGTCTTTGCTTCTCCTGATGTAAATCAACATTGATACGAAACATCATAACTATAGTGGAGACTATTGCGTCCAGTCACAAAAATAATTCAGTCTGATTTTCTAATTAAATGACATTAAACAGTTTCTGAACAAGAACGAAGTAACCATTCCTACTACAAGTCGTTCGTAAAGCCTATGATAAGAAGACATGTTTCTACTCTGAATTATTGGAACTCTCAGCTTATTTTCAGATGCAAATCAACATTAATGTCTACGTCTTAACAAAAGTGGAGACTATAACATCGAACACAATCTTATTTTCTAATTTTAACGATTATTAACTGTAAAGGGATCTGAAATAACAAGCTCGCACGGTACCATGTCGTCCCAACACTTGGGAATTGAACAATAGCAAAATAAATTAGTGTCACAAGTTTGTCTCTTACTGAATCTAGCAGTGTTCGACTATCGCGGAAAAGGTTCAAAACGACCTCTCTCCGAACATTGAGCTCAATGCTTGCGCATTTTCCCTTGGTCAAAAGAAACATCCGACGGGTCATTTCCAGCTGCCTGTTCGTATGCATTGGCGATACGCATGCATATTTTAAATTAAAAACATACATTAGTACGCACTGAAACGTAACGTATTATCTATTTCTACGATAACGTTATAAGGATGATGTTTTCACTCAGTTCTGTAGGGGGGCCAAATCCGCGGAGGGGGGTCCATATCCGCTAGCGGATTTGGACCGGGGGGTCCATATCTGCTAACGAATTTGGACCGGGGGGTCCATATCTACTGGCGAATTTGGACCGAGGGTCCAAATCCGCTAGGACACCGGCAAACTATACAATTTTTGCTCGACCACAAAGAAATTAAGCTTTGAAATTTGAAATTAGCTTTTCCTCTACTCTCCGGCTCAAGCCGAAAATAACTGAAAAAGTTTATAACTGAAAGATAAGAATGATTCAGCTTACAAAACATTCAATTTCATTCAATCTTCAATTCTTTATAGGACCTTCCCTGGAATTCGAAACATTTATTTTAACAATCAGCCAATGTTTACTGAAAAAAATTCAGAGGGGAGTGCAAAAATTGGACGAAGCTGATACGATCCAGCAAAATGAAAATTCAGACAGAAACGTAGTTCGCACACAACTTCTCTTCACATGTTGATATTGGGCAATATTGAAAAATAATTACCTCCAAATGAACCTATTCTGCGTTTCCACGTAGCTTGAAAACTTGAGAATCAGTTGAACTTAATTAGATTTCGTGCAGCACCAGATTCCAAACACCCTTTGTACGGCTGACTGAATTCAGAGGCACGCGTACAATTGTTATGTGTCCAGTCATCAAACTCCTGTAAATTTGGACACGTTCATTTTCACCCTTGTTCTTCCTCGCTACGAAGATTTTATTTTTCTCGTTTGGTGATGAATTAAAAACGCATTCGCTTTATCAGATAAGGGGATTATTGACAGAGATAAGTATATAGCAAACAGATTGCAACTCCGAACAAAATTTGACTTTTATGTTTATTCCTGTGGTTCGACCCTTCTTGTTATTCGACATATGGAGTTGAATTCTTCCCTAAAATCCTTGTTTAAAATACCGTAAATAACTGGGTTTAAACAACTTCCCAGTCCTACCGTAACTGAGCCGAAAAAGTAGACTTGCCGAGGAATAGGAAAATGTTCGTGAAAACTTTCGATCAAAATAATCACTAGAAATGGAGTGTAACATATTGTGAAGCTGACAACAATGCACGACAACAAACGATTGAGATGAACATCTTCGGCATTTACGTTAGAAGAGCTCATATGAGAAGTATGCCTTTTAACAAAACGCCACACCTTAAAATAACAGATAAAGATCACTTGGTAAGGTATAAAGGCCTCGAAAACTCCAATTAGAGCGATAAGAGTGTAGCTCGCGCTGCTGAAGTCAAACAAGCAAACAATATGGCCGGGATGAAACACATTATGAACATTCGTGATGTAAAATGATACCGGAATGGCACCCGTGAAACACCAAGCAAATGCTATGGAAATCAAAATTGTTTTAACCGACACCAGCTTGCGATGCATGTTTGGATAGACAACTTTTAAAAACCTGTTGGCTGCAGAGATGTTGTCCCGAGCATGGTAGCCAAAGACGCTTGGAACCAACACAGCGTTGCTCCAAACATCCAATTTCCAACCATCGCCGAGACGCAAGTAAACGGCATTGCAACAGCAGATAATATTAAATCCGAAACAGCTAGTGAAATTATGTACAAGTTGAAAGGTTTTCGTAGTCGCGGATTTCTATATACAGCAACAAAAACTAGACCATTTCCCAGAACTGATACTCCCGTAATAACAAGACAAATTAGTGTCTCGATCACAACGAGGAAAGTTCGTCGTGTTTGAAGCTCTGAAGAAAGCTTCTCTTCATATTCGTGTCGGGTCATTTCAAGTCTACCGCAATCCACTGAACTTGTCGTTGACACTCAATACTTTTGGTGCAATCTCCCGTATTTAACTTGGTAATACGTCAAGACATAACTCGCACTATTCAAAATTATCACACATCTATAGCTATCCGTGATTGGTCAAAAACTGTTTAGACGACAAATCATTTGTCTTTATTGACAAACCACCGTTAGTTTTTATCCGAATCGGCTGAGAGAATATCAGTTCGATACAGATGATAACAGGAAATAAATTGAAATCGCCTTTTATCTTTTTTCGATTCTACTTTTCTCTTTCTAATTTCTATTAGCAGGTGATAAAGTGTGGTCTTTGATGACAGGTGAGCTCCTTTACGGGGGGGCGTACTTTAACAGAAAGTCAATTTATTTATCCCAGTAGCATCCACTTTTAATTACGTTTAGCGAAATTGAAAAAAAAAACAGTGTCGGCGCCTTCTGGGTTAAGGCATCCCTGTTTGGATTTAACTTATCATAGGCTTTCCTTTCGGATAAATCGAAGTACTGAACATAAATCATTTTTTTCTTCTATGTTACAGTCGTAGCCGATTAAAAGTGATTATCTTAACTATCTTAAAGGATTGTGTATGTTTTTTCAATCAATGGATGTGGGTATAAGCGAAACATTTTTCTATCAAAACATAGGGTCGTCAATCAGTCAAAAGGTAGATCTATTAGAGGTCAGTAAAAAGAAATAATATTGCCTTCGGGTATCAGATGATGCGCGATTGTTAATATCCCCGTGTGACGTCAGTTTATAACTTGGTCTGCGAAAGAAGTAAGAAAGTCATTATCTTTAAACAAAGAGTTGCGGGGGAATTTACTTATAATTAAAAAGTCTTCCTCACCCGAAGCCAATTTTAATCATAAATTAAGAATCATGACAACAAATTCTGCGGAGTGAGTCGAAAGGTCTTAAGCGGTTAATGTCTGGAGTCATCCGTCAGATCGTCAACTAATTTCTAGCCACCTTCAATTACCACTTACTGTCTCACAGTCGCGTCGATTTCCTGTATCTTATATAGAATTTATAATCTTTCGAGCGCAGCCGCAGGTTATTTGCTTCCCGTGAACCGGCCTTCACTTGTTTCATTAGTTATGAATCACAAATCATATCAGCCATGCAACGAGCAAAAACCTGCCATGTTAGCAGTTTGGGCAATATGAAATTTGACCGACAGTGAGCCGTCCGCGATATAAAGGAAAAAAAACTGAATGCTTTCATTGAACGAACTAAACCATCGTTCACTCAAGATGTTCTACCGGCGATTCATTACGGGCATCAACGGGATAAGACAGAAAGGGATCCCGTCAAAATGAACGACCACGTCAAGGTACAGAAAGAAACGCAAAGGGGAATATTTTTCAAGTAATTTACTCTATTTGCCTCAAAGACCTTGATAAACAAAAATTTTAAGCGATCCTCTATTTCATACGAGTGTTTTAGGAGAGGGGTGTTGGCACTGTCCATTTGGTGTCACTTTTGAGCGGAAAAATTTCAGTACAAACGGGCTAAAAGTCCATGTTCAATTTCTTTTCTTAACACCGTTGTGGCTAAGAATTTTGTCATGAGTGCATACCCGTGGATGTTCTTAAATTCTCTGGTTAAAAGATCAAATAGTTCTTTAACTTGAACTTAAATTGGGTCATGGCTGAAGGAATGCTGATCAGCTTGTATACTGATTACAGGGGTTTAAACTTGATCCACCCTCTCACCGCTATAAAGAGCGATTCTTTTGACCCGTGTGGCGTGACACTCATTTGTGGAACAATTGAAAGACTCCTTATCTGTAACCTGAAATGCAACTGAAATGAAACGTATTTTTCAGTGATTAAATGCATAGATTTCGAAAGCGCAGTACTTTTACGAAATGGGAGTGAGTATCCTGTTGTAAATGAGCGAGTTTTTATATGACTATTTTAAGTTTAATTTCCCACCAGAAACAAGCAATGAAATAAATTTCTGAAAAACCAAAACCAGTAACGACTTGCAATGAAAAGTGACTCAGACTTTTTTCGCTCTCTCCTAACAAGTTTTCTTTCAAGACTTATTTGCTGAGCTGGATGGATCCCACAGCATTGATAGGGTCTGGCGGGCGAGCTTTAATACGTTCGTGGCCACCAAGTATTGGTGTTACAGGATAATTATAGCTATCTGTGGAGTACCTACTGCCATCTTGTGCGGAATCTACTTTGCTTGTCTAAGTTTTGATTACATCTAGTGCATCATTCCCTGTTTGCGCGCTTACGTCATTGAGCTGCAGTGCCTTGGAAAGCTGTTTAGCCTGTGTGTGCGCACATTCTTCGACCCGTTTTTTGAGTCTGTGGGAAGAATTTTTGGTGGAATGAGGATTTCTCATGCAAGAGAAGACAACAAACCCTTTTCGGCATGGTAACATTTGTCTTGACACGCAAATGTTACTTACTGAGTTGTCTTGATATTCTAAAAGTGCAGAGAAAAGAACTTAAAACACGAAACTAAACTTAGGAACTCTGTATTCATTTTTTACACGGTGCTAGACGATGTTATAGTTTGTCAGCATTATACAATTAAAATATATCAACTAACCTAATATGTATTCTTATATATATACCGCATTTACAATGATTAAGGCTCAATTCGACTATTCGCTTGGGAATTTGCAAAGTTTTTTCGTTTACATTGCAGAACCGAATGTTGCAAGAAGAACTTTATCATAAGTCTAGTTTAAAGATTGCAAATATTCCTGGCTTTTCAATTCCGGTTATATTCTAGCATGTCTCAAATTGAACATACGTCTTTTATACATACTTTTATGTACTTTTTTAATTATATTTTTATATTTACTTTTATGTACTCAATTTGCCACAGTATAAAAATTCTTCTTTCAAATTAAAACGAATGCATTCGATTATTCCCCACATAATCACCCTCATTAGTTTCTTTAAGATGTCTAATTTACAAAACAGCTGTCGCTCCTCGTGATTTGATATGCAGTAAGCGACTTGGAGTATCGCACATCCTGCTGGCTAGAGTGTTAGTCAATCGTAGGTTAGCCCCCCCCCCCCCCCTTCCCTCTCCTCCCCCATCTGCATTTGGTTAGCCAAGACAGTCTTTGAACGACTTATCAAAAATTCCGCTTTGGTGTCACAAACCCTAATCCTTCATGCGCTACGAATTTTCGTCTTTAAATAATGACCGATTTCTGGCAGGTTTCGCCTTGTTTACTTGATTTCAGTGAAAAGGTCTCTCATTCCCTCATCAGACCATAATATAAATTATGGAATATCGAAGGCTATACAACACGAATTTAAAGAAAAAAAGTGTATTCTGCAATTCTCTTATTACGTACTGTTGACATAAGCCTAACCCAAATTTTCACCAAGACCGTATGTCCTTAGTCTCTCATTGGTTTCTGTCCTCGTCAGTCCGTGTCTCTCCCGTTGTCGTTGATGTTGTTATAGATGTCGCTGCCAGTGTTGCTTTTCGTTATGCTGCTGTCGTTTCTGTTTTTACTTTTGATCATGCTGTTTAATTGCCTTCAGTGTTACCTCTGCATGCTTTGAATCTCTTCGACCGTTCTCGTTCTCCTTGTTGTGGTCGTTGCTGTTGATGTTTTTGTTGATCTTCCTGGTGTTGCTGTTGCTCTTGTTGTTGTTGTCGTTTTTTCTAATGTTGTTGAGTCGTTGACTCTGAGGTTTTTATGCAGAGTGCACCTGCTGGGAACATTCCAACAGTTTCCTCAGTCCTTTACGTATATCTTTGTTTGGCCCAAAGTTCAATAGAGGATTGAAAACTGCATTCAGATGCAGAAAAAAATTGAAGAAAGGCTAAAACGGTTGCGCGGTCCAAAATCCATGCATGTACTAAGACACAGGACAAAGTGTGGCTGGGAGAAAGATAACAATACCAAGAGACATGAATATGAAAGTGATCTTCGCAGTAATGAACACTACTTAAGCTGTTGTGAAAATAAGGCATGAAAAAAAATTCAGGCCTGCGCGAAATTTTAACCCATGAACTGTGCGACACTGGTGCAGTAGAGAAACTACAATAGATGAATAAATGGCAGAAATTGAAAAATATAATCTTCATGGATTTAGCAAGGGAACATCTCAGTATTAAAAAAAAATCTGAATCAATGATTGCCTAACGACTACTGATTTGCATAGATAAATGAACGTTCAATCGTTTGTCCCAAGATGAAAGAGTCAGGCTAATCAGGCTAAGATCGCGACGTTTCGACTGCTAGTCTTCGTCAGACAACGAGGTCGAAAGCCTAAAATGTTTATAGCCTTCTGTTGTGTGTACAAAATGCACATAGACAACGAGACAACCCAGCTTTTGCTGGGTTGTCTCGCTGATTATGAACATGCAGCATCAATTAAAAAATTTATCAGAGAAATCGTTTAACCCTTGGACTCCCAGATCAAATTTGTGATTCTCCTTACTGTCAACCATACAATTCTTATAATGTTAGTTCAGAGAATTTAGTAGTGAATCAACTAATTGTCCCCAAATTGATATTTTTCTTTATTCTCATCACTTATCTGGTTGATATTGTATTGATATTGTAAGGAGAAATTCTGTCTTGGTCACTGATGGGAGTTAAAGGGTTAAGCACAGGTAAAAGACCTCGTTCTATTCCAGCTCAGTGGTTCGGGTGAACTGATTCTGTTGACGAAAAGACGATCTGATTAAAGTCGAAGATCCTCTTAGGTAAATTAGTGTAGGTAATCACAAGATTTCAATTGCAACTTGGAATAAATAATCACTACGTTCCTCATGAAGGGTCGGTATTGAAATTCATTTGTCAAGGAATATATGATTAAAGTACTAATAAGAATGATCATAATAATAACAATAATAAAGAGTAATGACAATAACAATTATAATAGTAATAATATCAATAATGATTATTGTATTGATAATAATTACAATAATACAGTCGATCCTGTATTAAGCAGCACCGTATTAAACGGTCTCCACTATTAAGCAGTCGTGGTCATTAATTACTGAGTCCAAACATTGTTTCCCGCTTGTATTGGACGGTCACTTAGAGCGGAACCACTCAAATAAAACTAAGGATAATCTCTGAAGCAAAATTTTATCCATGTTTTTCTCCTCTCAATTTAAATAGTATTTTTGAGCGACTCTTTGTATATCAGGAGGTCAGTTATAGGATGAAATGGCCCTCTAAGTTCGTATTTTCATAGCATCACTATTCTGTGGAACCTTTATTAAGCGGTCATTTCGCCATTCCCCGCAATGTACAAGTTCGGATGCACTGCGTTGTCCACTTAGTACTGGCCATAGTTCATTTCATAACTTTTTGCTGATGTCGATCTCAAATATTAAGTGCTCACTCAGGCGAAAATGAAACAGCAAAAGCTCTCTACATTCACGGAAAATCATACTTTATTTGCGAATATCAAACATGTCATAGTACATGTCATAATACTGCAGTAGGCTGGTCAGTATATTTACCTTGCAGATACGACTTTAGATTTGCATTTGCATAGTCTGTTGATGGCATTATACTAAAAAAGTGACGACAAGCTGACATTTATTCTCAGAATCAAGTCAAAGTAAGTTGAAACTCTCAAGTCTCAGTGTAAGAGCCAGATAACTATTAAGCTTCAGACAGTATCGACACTTGTGAAACAGTTGAACTTGATTAGATTTCGTGCAGCATTCGATTCCAAACACCCTTTGTACAGCTTACTGAATTCAGTGGCACAAGTACAGTTGTTATGTGTCCAGTCATCAAACTCCCATAAATTTGGACACGTTCATTTTCACTCTTGTTCTTCCTTTCCACGAAGATTTTATTATTCTCATTTGGTGATGAATTAAAAATGCATTCGCTTTATCAGATAAGGGGATTATTGACAGAGATAAAGTATATAGCAAACTGATTGCAACTCCGAACAAAATTTGGCTCATATGTTTATTCCTGTGGTTCAACCCTTCTTCGTATTCGACATATGGAGTTGAATTCTTGCCTAAAATCCTTGTTCAAAATACCGTAAATAACTGGGTTTACACAGCTTCCCAGTCCTACCATAACTGTGCCGAAGAAGTAGACTTGCCGAGGAATAGAAAAATGTTCGTGAAAACTTTCGATCAAAATAATCACTAGAAATGGAGTGTAACATATTGTGAAGCTGACAACAATGCACGACAACAAACGATTGAGATGAACATCTTCGGCATTTACGTTAGAAGAGCTCATATGAGAAGTATGCCTTTTAACAAAACGCCACACCTTAAAATAACAGATAAAGATCACTTGGTAAGGTATAAAGGCCTCGAAAACTCCAATTAGAGCGATAAGAGTGTAACTTGCGCTGCTGAAGTCAAACAAACAAACAATATGGCCGGGATGAAACACATTATGAACATTCGTGATGTAAAATGATACCGGAATGGCACCCGTGAAACACCAAGCAAATGCTATGGAAATCAAAATTGTTTTAACCGACACCAGCTTGCGATGCATGTTTGGATAGACAACTTTTAAAAACCTGTTGGCTGCAATAAGAGCCATGTTCATCAGAGATGTTGTCCCGAGCATGGTAGCCAAAGACGCTTGGAACCAACACAGTGCTGCTCCAAACATCCAATTTCCAACCATTGCCGAGACGCAGGTAAACGGCATTGCAACAGCAGATAATACTAAATCCGAAACAGCCAGTGAAATTATGTACAAGTTAGAGGGTTTTCGTAGTCGCGGATTTCTATATACAGCAACAAAAACTAGACCATTTCCCAGTATTGATACTCCCGTAATAATAAGACAAATTAGTGTCTCGATCACAACGAGGAAAGTTTGTCGTGTTTGAAACTCTGAAGAAAGCTTCTCTTCATATTCGTGTCGGGTCATTTCAAATCTATCGCAATCTACTGAACTTGTCGTTGACATTTGTTACTTTTGGCACAATCTCCCCTATTTAACTTGGTAATGCGCTAAGACAACTCGCACAATTCAAAATTATCACACATCTATAGCTATCCGTTATCGGTCAAAAACTGTTTGGACGATAAATCATTTGTCTTAATGGACAAACCAGCATTAATTTTTATCCAAATCGGCTGAGAGAATCTCAATTCGATACAGGCAGAAACAGGAAATCGATCGAAATCGCCTTTTTTTTTCGATTTTACTTCACTATTTTTAATTTCTATTGGCAGGTGATTAAGTGTGGTCTTTGATGACAGGTGAGCTCATTCACTGGGGGAGCGTACATTGACATAAAGTCAATATTCAGTCGATTTGTTTATCCAAGTAGCATCCACTTTTAATTACGTTTAGCGAAATTGAGAAAAAAAAGGCGACATTGTCGGCGCCTTCTGCATTAAGGCATCCCTGTTTGGATTTCACTTATCATAAGCTTTCCTTTCGGTTAAGTCGAAGTACTGAACATGAATCATTTTTTCTTCTATTTTACAGTCGTAGCCGATTAAAAGTGATTATCTCACAAACCACTTAACCGTCTTAAAGGACTGTGAATGTTTTTCAATCAATGGATGTGGATGTAAACGACACATTTTTCCATCAAAACATAACGTCATTCAGTAGTCAAAAGATAGAACTACAAGAAGTCAGTTTGAAAAGAAATAATATTGCTTACGGGTATTAAATAATAAGCGATTGTTGATATCCCCGCGTGGCGTCAGGTTATAACTTGGTCTGTGAAAGAAGTAAGAAGTCCATTATCTTTAAAGAAAAGAGTTGCTGGGGAATTTACGGATAATTAAAGTCTTCCTCCGGAGCCAATTTTAATTATAAAATTAAGAATTATGACAACAACTCATTCTGCGGAGTGAAAAGTTCTGGAGCGGTTACTCTTTAGAATTATCCGTCAGATGGGCGACTGTTTTAATCGTCAAGCTGATCTCTAGTCACCTTCAATGACCACCTACTGTTGCCTCACAGTTGCGTCGATTTCCCGTAACTTATTAAGAATTTATCATTTTTAGAGCACAGCCGCAGATTAATTGTTTCCCGTGAACCGGCCTTCATTTGTTTCATCAGATATAAATCACAAATTCACAAATCCTTAAACAACGAGATTTTAAAAGTAAGTCATGCAACGAGAAAAAAACCTGTCATGTTAGCAGTTTGGGCAATATGAAAATTTGACCGAATCTGAGCCGTCCGCGACATAAAGAAAAAAACTGAATGCTTACATTGAAAGAACTTAATCTTGTCGTCATTTGTTTGAGGTTCATAACAGCTATCGACAAAGAAATCTGCTAGATAAAATGTGTAACTGGCCGTAACTATTACGCTCCGTTAGCCATGACCAATTCTATTTTACACTATTGATATAATGGTTCGTCGAATAGGCGCCTAATTAAAATTTCGGCTAAAAGCGGGGGCGATATCAATTAAAAGAAGGCGCTTAATCGAAGAGGGGCACTTAACAAGTTTTGCCTTCAACGAACAAACTTTATTTTGGCTAAATCTTAAAAAGAAGGAAAAAAAAACTAACACACTAATCACGTAGAGTCAATATGGAGAAAGAAAAGTAACTGGAAGTGAAAAACTTTTTGCTTGTACTTATCCAATTGTAGTTCAAGCTTTAAAGGTTGTAAATAAAGTGGCAATAAAAAACCATGACTGAATCGTTAAGGAAATTATATCTTGAGCACAGAAACCAAAAAAGTAAACGATTAAAACTTCATACTGTTTAATCTTGCATCTTGGTTGTTTAGTGCTATAAATTTACAATTGGCTAAAACAGGCAAAAAGAGCGGTTTTCAACTGAGTGTCGATAGTAAACCGCGATTGCTGACGTATTGCTTCACCATGGTTTGGTCTTGAAACTCGCGTCACCATTTCGAACAACCAGAGGCAGAACTAAAACCACTCGGTCATTCGGTGAATTCTCAATGGCTGCTTGTGTTATTTTGTATTGTTTTGATCGGCCACTGATAACTTTGGTTTTGGTTTTACCACACTCACTTGAAATGCTTTGAAAGCAGTAGAAATAATTTGTTATAATAAAACTACCTAAATGAAAAAAAAAAAACAACAACAACAACAACCAGTATTTCAATTCGTGGACAATTACTGTACGAAAGCCTTGCTTATAGAAGAAAAATGATAAAAAAATCTGTTAAAAGGAAGATTACCATGGGTTTATCATCCTTGAACTCGTGAAAGTGATTGATGATATTTTCGTAAAGAAAACATGAAGACAACAAGAGTTGTTTCTACTTAATGCATTCTGTGCTTTCCTTACGTTTATGTTACGGTGCCAATATTTTAAGCTGTAAGAAGTAACAACTAAATAAAACCGCTGTATATAAACAAAAATCTGATTGGCTCATTCAGTTCTTCGTATCTTAGTCCTCGTAGCTGACGTTATTTACAATACGAATTATATTCGAAAACCACGGTACTCAGCTGCACCGCCAATTACATATCAAGGTTTACCAACCAAGCTTAAGGCTGTTTTGGAAGGTTTCAACAACTTTCGTTTCCTCTTGTTTTCATGGTCGAACTTTGCAATTGGCTTATTTACAACAATCTTCTTGGCAGAGCCAAAACTGAACCCAGGCGCCCTCGATTTGATGTGACCGGGCACAGACCGTCCAGGTGTGGACCCGGGTCTAGAGAAACCCCGATGTTTTGAGTGACCTCCGTCTTCATCAGATGATGAAACCGAACTGCTAGAGTGAGGTTTGTGAAACACTTTAGGCTTTTTACTCGTTGCCAGTTGATTCTCTGTTCCATTTTGTTTAACGGACAATGGCGCTGCTTTGTTGTTTTCATACTTCATTTCTTGGGATACATTTTTCAATTCGACCAATGCTTGTCGCCCATTTCTGTCAGCGTTTAAGGATGGTGAGGAAGCTGTGAGAAAGAAACCATTTACAAAACGTAATCAATCAATCAATTTTATAATGTCATGACGTGGGATGACGTTGTCTTTACATCCGAGCAGAAGGCTAAGGCATGAAACGGACGACAAAGCCTGAGAAATTAGCAACCTCCCTGCTTACAAAATCAACAACTTATATCAAAATCCTAACTTAGCTCAGCGTTTTGCAAAGTCGCCATTTGGCAACAATAAGTCATAACACGGTCACCAGAAAATACAATTTTAGTCACCAGATAAAAAAAATTTAAGATATTACATGACATATTGAAAAAGAAAAGGAGGTAATCCAGTCGTAAAATGAAATTAAAACAATGGAGCATTTAACGTTCTTTGTGCAAACGTTTATGTCACTTTAACTCAAGTCCATGAGCTCGAAGATATACCTAAAACAGGTCGCCAAGTTGAAGACTTTCCTTTCAAAATTTGTCGACAAAAAGTAATTCTACTCGCTAAGGCAACCACAACAGTCGCAGCTTGGAGCACTTCAAAAAATTACCCACAACTTGTGGGTGTATACGGTTCTTTCAGAGCACAGACTTAGACCTGGTAGATCTCCCTCTCTTTCAGGTGAAGTTGCAACTTAATTGACACAGTACATACACCACATTCATAATGACGGATGGGTCGGGAAAATCTCGGCATGAGAAAATGAAAGCGAGGCGAATGACTTTAACTTTAATGTATGTTTCTCTTCAACATCCCATTTCCCTTACCATTTCCATTTTCACTTAGCACTACCGTATCCACAATTGGCACTTCCTGTGGAGATTTCTGAAAGAGGAATAGAAGAATTTTAACAGTTAAAAAGTGGAGGAGAAAGTACTTTCTCATGCAAAGGTACTTAAACGTAATGTATGGTAAACATGAAATACAAATACCAGTTGACGATTAACACATTTCACTGCTTTACATCCGCATTCGTCTGAACAAGCGGCAGAGCTCTTCTTGCAAAGACAGTTGCTTGTTGCACACTTCCCTGTGCACTTACATCCCTAAAAAAAATGGAAGCGAATCGATCAGTCAGTCAAGCAATCAACCTGTCAGTCAATCAATCAATCTGTCAACCCATCAATCTGCCAGTCAGTCAGTCAGTGCGTTGGTCACATCTGTCCGTTCTCCTTTTCTTCCGGTTAACTCATTCATCTTTTTATTGATCCCTTCATCCACGTAATCAAAAGTACTGGTTAACTCTTTAGAAAGCACGAAGATACCATATCTTCGAATTGCCCAGTTACCTGTCCTTGCCCAGAATTGTTGACCAGCAATGAAGAAGCGTCAGTAGACCGGGTGGTTCGTCCAGACCTCCGTTGTGGACGACGGCCTATAGGGGTTTTCACCCAGTCTGGGTCGAGCTCAACCAAGTCCTCCTGTTCGCTCTCCTCACTCAAATCCATAGCCCAGTCCTCGTCGTGTTCGTGCAACTCCACAGTTTTCTTCTTTGATTTCTAAGGGGAAAAAGGGAATGCAAGATTGTAAATTTTGGGCTGCCTCGGCTAGCAGGTGGAAACAACTTGAAAAAAGTGCAAAATTTAATCATAATTTGTAAATCGGAAAAATGATGTTTCCAACGTTAGTCCCTCATGTACATCTGGACAAACTGGTTTGAGTGCACTCTGCACGCGTACATGTTGTTAAAAAAGAAATGACGAACAAGTTTACGATCTTAGATGGATAACTTAAATCTGCCGAGAAAATAGGGTAACCACGATCAATTCATTCAGTATGAAACTGAGGCCCTTTTATCGTGAGTTACTGCTTTTATTTGCAAGCACGCGTCTTTATATATTGAGACTTTCTCTTGGACAGTTAAGCGGAAAAGGAAAACAAAACCCGCAAAATTCGTGGAATAAGCAGAAAATTGATAGAAGAAATTCTTCTTCATTAATTACCTGTTTCTTTGGTTTGGGGGATGGAGAGTCAGATGCAAAGACTTCCTTCAGTTGTCTCAATTGCTAAAAAAGAAACACTCACATAAATCAAAAGATACAGACTG